TTGTCGTTGGTATCAACCCTATAGATTGAACAATTGCGGCGCTCTAAGTAATCTCGAAACTCTTAGCGAAGCAGATGGATCTCGTTGAGAAACCACCGGTTATAATATGTAAGCATCCAAATACCTACCTCTGTGCTGTTTTGTATGGATTTCACTGTATTTTGGTATATGGATTCGTGACTTTTATTCTCTGATTATTAGATACCAAAAATCAGAAGAAGAGGTTGAGGAAAAAGGAGAGAAAGATCAAAGACAAGGATGCCTCTGTGTTAGTAACCGCCCAAGGTGGTTTACCAGTTGACAAAATTGCTGAGGAAAGCATGGTTAGTGTAACTTAAATTTTGCTACATCAATGTGTCGTATTACACATCAAGCATTGTCGATTGTTGTTGAACTTGCATTTCTAACCAAAAATCAGAAGAAGCAACCCTCCGGATGTAGCTCCATGACAACCGCTCAAATCGAGGCGAAGGTGACAATGTTGATTTCGAAATTTTACCATATTGCTTTTGACTGACGCATATGTGACATGATTCTTCTTCTTCTTCGTGGCAGTTTCATAGTTTTCTGGAGAAGATCTGTGAGGATGCAAAGGGATTGAATTATCACCAGGTAGGATTGCTTATGGCGGTCATGGCTCAAATGCGTGAATCTGTTGATGAAGTCTTTGCACGCAAACTTGCAGAATTTGATGGTAAACCTATCTTTGTAGAGATTGTTGACAAAACATTCTATATATCTATATTACAAACTCGTAATGGAATCCAATAATTTCAAATGCAGACGACGAATTGCAACTTGAACAGAAAGGCAAAGGTCAGGAGAGAAAGATGAAGGAGCAGCAAGCCTATGCACAAGCACAAGCTGGAGATCTATCTAATACTGAAGCTGTGTTAATGGAAAGAGAAAAGGCTGAGTTAAGGGAAGCTGAGAAGGTTTATTTTCAAAGGAAAGAAGTGAAATTAGAAGAAGAGCTTGAGAAAGCAAGACGCCAAGCTAAATTAGAAGAGAGTAAGAGANTNAAATTAGAAGAAGAGCTTGAGAAAGAGAAGCAGAAACTTTTCTCTGGAGACAAGGAGAAGCAGGAAGCCTCTGGAGAGAAGCAGAAACCTTCCTCTGGAGAGAAGCCAACAATCAATGAATTGTTGGCGAAGGTGACAGTGTTAATTTTGAATATATATATAAGTTTTACCTCAAATGGCTTTAAACAATCTTTGATATGTGACATGATTCTTCTTCTTCGTGACAGTTTCATAGTTGTGTGGAGAAGATCCATGTGGGTGTAGAGAAATTGAGTCCTCGTGATCGAAGATTGATTCTTTTAGCCGAAAATGGATTGCGTTACAAGTTTGAGCAAGCCAAAGCATGCGCAATTGCAAGATATGATGGTAAATCTTGTCAAGAAAGCATTCTATATATTACGAGAAATCGAA